GAATAACACTTGTTGAGCTAGTTTTTTATTTTCCACTAGCATCTTGCCCTAGAGATCCATCTAAGTTATTGCGTGTATCAATAGTTTGTTATTCCTTTACTGCTGAGTAATACTCCACAATACAGACGTACCACAGTTAGTTTCATTATTCACCTGCATAAGAATTGGTTGCTTACATTTTGGTGTTATTACGACTGAGGCTTCTGTGAAAAATTGATTACACATTTCTATGTGAACATAAGTTTTGTGGAAACTCTACCCAAGAGTCCAAGGACAAGACTGTATGGTAAGTGTATGTTTAGTTTTTGATAAAACTGCCAAATATTTTCCAGAGTAACTATACAATTTCACACTCCCCCCATTTGCTCTGCATCCTTGCCAGCATTTACTATGGGCACTATTATCTTTCCCACTACAATTTGTATGTACTGATAACTCATTGGGTTTTACATTTCCCTACTGGCTAATGATATTTGACATCTTTGCAAGTGATCATTTACCATCCTTATAGCCACCTTCGGTGAGATGCCTGGTCATTTCTTTCATCCATTTTCTAATACAATTTTTTAATGTTGACATTTCTTTCATTACACAAAATTTTCCATGTATAAATATATGAAAATTTATAAATAGTTATAAAACAATCAAACTTTTAGTCACAATACAATTCAAACTACAAATAGCAACCAAGATTTTTGAATTCCTTTAGTATCTACCAATAAATACATTCTCACTTAGCTCACACAAAAAAGAAAAATTCTCCTATAATGCATGGTATAAATTTCATTTCATTTACACACACACACACACACAGCCTTCAGAAAGTTCATAGAAAATACATATTATGAAAATTTGGGCACTTGGGACCAGCAGTTAGCATAATGACTATGTCGCTGAACTCCCATGTAGTAGACCACGATTCAAGTCCTGGACCTGGTGGCTTAAATTCACACCAGGCACGTGTGCGTGCATGCCCAAGATCCCAAGAGGAGAAATGTAGGAGAAGGGATTGCATCGTGGCCATCCCCCCTGGGGGATGATTTCTCACTTTCTGTCTCTCTGTCTCTCTGGCGAGCACATGCACCCTTTAGCAAAAACTTCTCCAAAAAAGAAATTAAAAAAAAAAAAACAGTTGAGGTACCAAAATAAATTCACACTTTAATTTCATTTTTCTGCTACTATTTTTTTCAGTGTGGAAAAATAAATTTTAATATTGATTATTTGCTATGATGTTTTAAATGTTCAGTCTTTTTCAACATAAGAAAATGAAAAACTTTGAAAATGAAAACTTTGAAGTCTTTTTTATAAAACACAATCTTAAAAAAAAAAGTTAGTAATGATTGGTCTTTGTGGTTCCTAGTAATAAGTCCTGTCTTATTTTTTCACATAGTATAAATTATATTCTTATGCAGGATTGCATAAAGACCCAGTAGTTCTTCAACAATGTTACCAAATAACCATATAAATCCCAAATGCAGCAAAGGCAAACAATCTTCATAGTGCACTTTGACCTCGTGGAAATGAATCTGCTTCTTTCAGATATTTTTCCACTTCAGTGTGAGGTAGAGTGTTAGGGTTTCATTAGTGGTTTCATTGTGTGGCTTTTTAAAATAATTAAATAGTTTTGATTTCTTCCACAGTTGACAGTTCTCAGATGAGATCTCCTTTTGGAAATCATAGAATCCAGGGATGTTTTGAATAAGCAAATAGCTCTTTAGAAGACTAAAAATCTCTCAAGGCAACTGTAATAAATATGCCTCTACATCCTTACTGATATTTCCAGTATGTCTGGAACCAAAGTAAGATGGATTTCCTGTTCCCACAGTCCACTTAATAGTTTTTTAAAGTCTGAATATTTCCATCATTTATCATTTCTGTTTTCAATGACTGTTCTGACCACCACCTTTTAATCACAGATGGAAGCCAATTTAGACTATTACATCTTCTTCAAATTTGCTTTTCAGTAGTGACTTTACTAGAGGCAACAAGTCCATCCAGCAGCCAGATGATATATATTTTGTCTTCCTATAAACTATTGGTCAGCACAAGAAGACAATCTCCCACAACTCTGAGATCATCTATGCTCACCAAATAAGCTACAAGTTCACTTCTACTTCCCTTTCTCCAGAAAAGTTAAAAGCTACATTCCATCTCAAATTTCTGATGAACAAAACTTGAACCATTGCGTCATGGTAATGACAAACCTCAGGGGGAAAAAAGAATAATCCCACTATATCTTGAAGATGAGCTTTCTTTCTGTGAAGAACCAGAATCACTGGAGTTAACTAAGTATGTTTGACTATCACAGAGCAATTTCTCAGGCAGGTGGCCTGGACAAGCCAGCTCATTTTATTTTTATTTGCCATGTCACAGTCCCCACGTATAGGGGATTTTGTGTGTGTGTGTGTGTGTGTAACAGATTTGGAAAGGGATGATGAACTTTCTGTGATAGGTCACCTTATATAGGTTTTCTGGGCTTTTCACACCTTGTCCAACCGTTCTATTTCCTTAAGCTGCCAACTGTTTTGGAGATTTCTTAAGCTCCTTTATGCTCTTATTAGTGAAATTAGAGATCCTTTTTCTAGGAAGACCAGTAGGGTAATCCTCAACGCTACTGTAAAAGTTCCACTTTTTAACATTGAGGCTTTCAATGGCCTTCATCTCAAACACCTGCGCCTCACGGTATCTCAGCGCTCTTGCACTTCAGCCCAGCACTGGTGCTGACAAACCTCTCCAGGCAGCCTAGAGCATTCCTCCTTCCTCCACTCTGGGCCAGGCCCTACTGGGGACCATTCAAACACGGCAGCCCTAGACCCAGTGAGATAGCTTTCCTGTGGATGCCTTGAAGGCTCCATAAACTTCTTAAACACCCTTTATAGAATTTGTTTGGAAGGGAGGTTTTTTCAAAGATGTCTCCTCTCCCTTTACAGTTTCTGCTTCCTCTAAGTGACCTTTTTCCTTTTCTTAATTCTTCATTTACTAGGTAAGAATTATTGTCTGCTCATAATGATGCAAAGGAAGCTCTTAAGTTCTTAAGTGAGGTAACATGAGTATATTTTAGTGTAAGTTGTTTCTTAGAAGACTCAAAAAATCTTCATTCTTGGGACCAGCAGTTAGCATAATGGCTATGTCGCTGGACTTCCATGTAGCCAACCACAGTTCAAGTCCCAGAGCTGGTGGCTTAAACTCACGCCGGGCGTGTGTGCATGTATGCCCAAGATCCCGAGAGGAGAATGGAGGAGAAGGGATTGTGGCATGGCCATCACCCCTGGGGGGTGATTTCTCGCTTTCTGTCTCTCTCTTTCTCTCTCTGTCTTTCTGGCAAGTACATGTGCCTTATAGCAAAACTCTCCAAAATAAAGGGGAGGGGGAGGAAAGCAATATATGTATGACAGTTAGACTTAGCAACCTCAAATACAAGGCACCCAGTGAAATTCGTATTTAAGTTAAACAGTGAGTTACAGTTTATTACGAGTATTCCCCCATGCAATATTTAGGTCATATTTACACCGCAAAATATCTCTTTTACTTATCGGCAATTTAAATTTTAACTTGATATTCTGGATTTTTTTCTGACAGCTATCATTATGTCCAACCTGCAAAGTTTCCCTCAATGGCAATATCCAGCCAACAGTAGAGGAGGAAAGAGAGTAGAAAGTCAAATTATTTCAGTTTGCAGGCATCCATGTATCGGGAAGTTAGTTCAGAGCCAGAAATGGCACACGTTACTTTTGCCCACTTCCATTGGCAGAAACTTATATATGGCCACACATATATAAGTATATATATAAGTATATCCTAGTATATAAGTATATCCTAGTTGGTGTACGAAAGAAAAGATAAACCTTGAAAATTAGAGAGTAAATTTCTGTCAAACCAGGAGTCTCTATGAAGAGAAAACTTAGCCATTCGGTATGTTCTTTAGAAAAAAGCACTAGAATCAGAGGGTTTAAGAGCTTAAAGTATATGAAAAATCCTGATGGAATGTGCGTCAGTAATAAACCTAACTGGCTACAGAGGTAGCCTTACTCAGACTAAGGAGAAAAAAAGAGATTTATGATTTAAAATAAGCTAATAATATGTGTTAATCACATTATTATGTGATGACATTTTGTGCAACTAGACAAATTAAAAATAACAAGGGAAATGGGAAATACAAGCCTAGCTCTTAGAAATATGTTTGTGTGTTTGTTATAATTGAGGCCACAATAAAATAAAATCAATGTAAGTGCAAGTTATACACATATATTTATATGAGTATTATCTGGCTTGTGAGGAGCATCACATAGATGAGGGTCACATGTTACATACAATAATACAGACATGCACTGAAGCCTTCAAACATGTGTGGGCCAAGATTATAACTCAGAAAAATTCTCTAAATAATGCTATAAACTTTAAGAGTTTGAACAGGATTAAAATAAAAAGTGGCTGAGAAAAACTGTAAAGTATGTCCAGAAAAGGGACATATTTATTTTTAAATAATGCTTTATACAATAAGGGAAATGAGAAATTTTGCTTACTATAGTGAAAAGATTCTTGGAATCACACCTGTTAGAAGCCTATTTTTTTTTCAGAATATATTTGGCCAGAGACTGCATGCACTCACTGGAGAGAGACAGATGGGAGGGGGCAAAAAAGAACCCCCCCGAAGGTGGAATGGTCATGCTACAATCCTTTTTCTTTCATGTCTCCTTTCTTTCAGGATTTTTGGGCATGCATACACATGTACAAAGCACACTACTCAAACCATTGAACCCTGCAGTTAGCCACATGAGATTCTGCCATCTTAACTCACTCCACAGGCTACTCTGCAGTATATGGGGAAGTTTCAAAAGCATTAAAAAAAGTTTTTTTAATGGTAAACTCCATTGGCTTACCATGAAAACCAAGTTAATAAAGTAAAATAAAATGTTAGAGTCTTTTCAACTGAAGAAGTCATAATGATTTTCCTCCTTTTCTTGGTTCTTCTCTTTGTATTCTCAAGACTTCTGGTAGCCATGATACAAGAAAATGCTACTGAAGTGAATGAATTCTTTCTCCTGGGATTCGATGCTCAACAGAAGTTTAAATATGTACTCTTCATTGTATTTCTTGTTATCTATACAACCTCCGTGGTGGGTAATACTGGGATGATCCTTCTCATCAATACAGATTCCAGATTTCAAACTCCCATGTACTTTTTCCTACAACATTTGGCTTTTGTTGATATCTGCTATACATCAGCTATCACTCCCGAAATGTTACAAAACTTCACAGTAGAGAATCACTCGATATCATTCAGGGGCTGTATGATACAATTATTGGTTTATGCAACATTTGCAACCAGTGACTGTTACCTCCTGGCTACTATGGCTGTAGACCGTTACGTAGCCATCTGTAAGCCACTCCGCTATCCTATAATCATGTCCCGAACAGTCTGCATCCAATTGGTAGCTGGATCATATATCATAGGCACAATAAATGCCTCTGTACACGTAGGTTTTACATTCTCACTGTCCTTCTGCAAGTCCAACAACATCAACCACTTTTTTTGTGATGGTCCTCCAATTCTTGCCCTTTCATGCTCCAACATTGACCTCAACATTATGCTAATTTCAGTTTTTGTGGGATTTAACTTGACATTTACCATGTTGGTTGTTGTCTTCTCCTACACATACATCATTGCTGCCATCCTGAAGATGTCTTCCATTGCAGGGAAGAAAAAAGCATTCTCTACATGTGCTTCCCACCTGACTGCTGTCACCATATTCTATGGAACCCTTTCTTACATGTACTTAGAACCTCATTCTTCTACTTCCCAGAAGAATATGAAAGTGGCCTCCACGTTTTATGGCATTGTGATTCCCATGTTGAACCCTCTGATCTACAGCTTGAGGAATAAGGAGGTAAAAGAAGCTCTAAAAGGGATAGGGAAAAAGTTCTTCTAGGTTTTATACAAATTGTTAAAATTGATCCCATCGAAGTATTCAGTAGTTATTTTTGTTTACCACAATCTTCCTAAAATTAGGAAGATGTCCACCAGTAAAGTCAGTGCTACATCTTTTAACAAATAAGATCTTAGAATGTGAGATACGTAGTAAGGAATTCTCCCGATACTCATTTTCCCTGGAGTATAGTCTGAGAAATGTATCTCCTACTACCTATAAAGATGCTTTTATTGGAATTAGTCAACATATGAAACAGCATCCATAAACTTTCTAAAGTATTTTCTCAAATTTATTTTTAAAGACAAGAAAAACCCCAAATAAAATTGAAGGTTACTATTTTTCTAATTTGTTAAAACTCCCTAAAATTTTAAAAATAGGATTTTAAAAAAAAAAAAAAAAAAAAAAGAGCCCATTGAAATTATTTTACAAATCTGAATGCAAAATAAACTAATTGCTTCAAAAAAGCATCATGGCTCAGGCTATCCTTCCTGCCCAATTTTCTCCTATTGTTTATATTCTACTGCACTTGAAAACACTTATTTTTGTCATTAGTTGCCCTCTTTATTCCACATCTATCTCTTTTCTTGCCTATAGAAAAGGAATTTCTGCAAACATTTATTATCTATGTCTCTAATAGAGAAAATCTGGAAATAGATTGACCACTGATCATTTACTTAAAGAAGACACAAAAACCATTTTTGTTCATGTCTTCAAACTACAGAAAGTCAATGGAAATTTGAAGAGAGTCCAAGAGCATTTTGAGTCCAGAAGACAAATGCTTAACAGATATCTTCAATTGACAAATTGGATGCACTGAAAGAAAGACCTTGAGGATATTTTTATAACCTGCAACTCCACTGTAGTTTATACCCTGAATAAATTGAGGATTTTTTAGAGTTTTTTGGGGGGTTTTGTTTGTTTTTTGCTATAGGGTGTGTACACTTGCCAGACAGACAGAGAGACAGAAAGCAAGAAATCAAGGGGGATGGCCACACTGTAATTCTTTCTCCTCCATTCTCCTCTTGAGATCTAGGGCACACATGCACATACGCACAGTGTGAGTTTTAAGCCACTGTGTCTGGGACTTGAACCACGGTCGACTATATGGGAGTCCAGTGACATAACCATTATGCTAATTGCTGGTCCCCCTGAATAAATTGTTTTTCTGCTGGCACTCAGATCAAGATATGATTCATCATGCCCGAGATATTTATGAGAAACTCTCAACTTGAATCTCTGTAAAGACAAACATGATAGAGGGACCAGCAGATGGCATAATGGGTATGTTGCTGGGCTCCCATATAGTCAACCAGGGTTCAAGTCCCAGACCCGGTGGCTTAAAGTCATGCTGGGCACATATGCATGCATGCCTAAATCTCAAGAGGAGAGAATAGAGGAGAAGGGAGGAGAAGGAATTGTGACATGGCCATCCCTCCTGGATGGTATTTCTTGCTTTCTGTCTCTCTATCTCTCCAGTGAGCACCCACGCCCTATAGCAATAATCTCTCTCTCAAAAAAAAAATGACAAGGATGATTGGTATTTTGCCTATTATTATGTCTCCAGCATCTACTAATTGTCATAAACTTGGTATGTTCTCATTAAAATAGGCGTCAGATGAGTGAGCAAACAATGCACAGGGGAAAAAAAAAGAAACTTGAATGTGTCCATTAAATGCTAAGCTACCTTCCTGTACAGCAAACTGTTCCATGGTGTCCCATACTTTGTAAAAACATTGGGTCCAGCAACTATGTCTATAATGTTATGATAAAAGATCAAATCTTCAATATATACTTTAAGTTGATAATTAACAAAGGCAACATTTTTTTAAATGCTATCTGAAACTCGGGTAGAAGAATGGCATCATAACTAAAGCAGTTTAAACAAGAATAACTTGGAGAAGAAAATTTCTATATGAGCTGAAAGACAGAGTTTATTTATCTCACAAAATGTGCATTCTCTAGCTGTTGTAAAATACAGCTGGTTGTGGTTCTAGCTGGCTCTCTTTGTAAAAACAGAAAATACCTCCATCTGGATAATATAAGAGAGTGGAGGTCTTATTCAGCTCATAGGTTGAAGGCCCATGGTCTAGAAGTCACCCCTGGTGAAGATCTTCTTCCTGGTGGACCCCATGGCAAAACAGAGCAGACCAGGATGTGTGTCCATAGTCTTTTGTGTCTGTAAGTCTCATTCCTTTTCCTTAAAAATCCACCAGTATTTAGTCATATGGATTCCCATCCTGATGTCTAATCACTTCTCAAAGGCCCCACATTAGACAACTTAATTGGGTTATGTTTCCTCTTTAAGCTTTCAGAATAACACCAAATTCCAAAACATGAACTTTGTGTGGATACATTCAAAACCATAGTAATTATCTATCCACTATCCACTCTCCTCTTATCCTTTCCTAAAGGACTATGATATTGTGTGAAAAGTTATGCAGGCAAATAGGAAATAAGAAAGAGGCCATAGGCTTCAGACAAATCTAAAGTCTACCAAGGTGAAAGGCCTGCGATTCTAAGGCTCAAGGGTTATCTCCTTTGGCTCTACACAGTGACTTCCAATCACACTGGGCTGCCAGTTCCACCTTCCAGACCCACAGGGTGACAACATTACACCTGCAGCTCATCTGGAAATTGCACATATTAATCTAAGCAAAACATGAAAACAAAGGATATAAAGTGAAAGAGTTCATATTGACTAAAACTGAGGACTACTGTTCAAATGTCACAATCCAAGCTACCCTAAATGTGCCTATGGAGGTCTTATTTTCAAAGAAAATATTTCTGGATTTTTTTTTTTTTGAGAGGTTTTTGCTACAGGGCGCTTGTCCTCTCCAGAGAGACAAAGAGAAACAGAGAGGAAGAAAGCAAGAAATCACCACCCCCCCTCCCGGGGCATGGCCACACCACAATCCCTTTTCCTCCATTCTCCTCTCAGGATCTTGGGCATGCATGCGCCCGGAGTGAGTTTAAGCCACCGAGTCCAGGACTCGAACCTCTGTCAACTACATGGGAGTTCAGTGACAAAGCCATTACGCTAATTGCTGGTCCCTCTGAATTATTTTTAAAGAAAAAATTAAGAGGAGACGTAGTGGTTAAGCTGCTGGGTTCCAACATGGTCAACCATAGTTTGAGTTGCAGACTCAGTTGGTTGAAAATCATGCTAGGCACATGTACATGTATGCCCAAATTCCCACAAGGAGAATGGAAGAGAAGGGATTATAGTGTGGCCATCCCCCCTGGAGAGTGATTTATCACTTCCCCTCACCCTCTCTCTCTCCAGCAAGTGCACACACCTTAAGGCCAAAAAAATCATTAATTGGGTTGGAAATTGCATCATTGTCCCTCAAAGTTTTACACTGATCAAAAGGCCATCACAGGGTTCTCGTATAGTACTGATTGACCTCATTTTACAGTAACAGGAGCAGGATGACTTCACAGGGCCTACACATTTTATCTGAAAAAATATGGAGACAGCAAGTCTAACTTAGTATATCAACCATAAATATCATTGTACTATAAGCATTTTGAAGGTTACCAATATTAAACATAATAAGTTCCATACACCTGGCCCTAATATATATATATAAATATATATACAATAAAAAAGTAAAATAATTAATTTGAGAGATAAATATTTACAACTCCTATAGGAAAGGGTTCTTGACTTAAAATATAAATATAAAAATAAATAGATTTATTGAAAGAAATATAAACAGATAATTCACAAAAAAAGAAACATTATTGGCTCTTACACATATAAAAAAAAAATAAAAATACTCAACAGGGGCCAGCAGTTGGTGTAATGGCTATGTTGCTGGACTCCCACATAGCTGACCATGGTTCGAGTCCCGGACCCGGTGGCTTAAACTCACGCCGGGCGTGTGTGCGTGGGTGCCCAAGATCCCAAGAGGAGAATGGAGGAGAAGGGATTGCGGCATGGCCATTCACCCTGGGGGGTGATTTCTCACTTTCTGTCTCTGTGTCTCTCTCTGTCTGTCTGGCGAGCGCACGTGCCCTATAGCAAAAACCTCTAAAAAAAAAAAATACTCAACCTGGCTCATAGAAGAAAGATATAAAGGAAACTAAAAAGTAATATTTTTTATACAGGAAAAATTTAGTTTCTTAGTATTATATTAAAGAAGATTTGGAGGGCTGGTCCCATAATCTAGTGCTTAGGGGAGCCAAATTTTACATTAATGCCAATTCTTGAGTCTTTTGGGAATTTTGCAGTGTGAATCCAGTTGATTCTAAGCTTTCCCTATTGCTCAATCAGGATTTGGATTTCTTGGGTCTCATAAATCTCTAAGCACTCGTCAATCCATTTTCTAGGTTGACACTTGTACTGTGGTTACATCTTCATTTCTGCACACTTTTTAAAAATCTTCCTTGTGGGGATCAGCAAATGGTGTAATGGTTATGTTGCTGGACTCCCACATAGTCAACTATGGTCTAGACCTGGCTCACTCCAGGCCATGTGCATGCCCAGGATCCCAAGAGGAGAATGCATTATAATATAATGCATTATATGACTGCAATAACAGTTGTTTAAGATAAGACTGTTTGAAAAAGAAAAATCTTCTAAGTCTCAGTGACTTGTAACAATAGAAGTTCTCAAACACGTTAAATGATTAGAGAAACATGTTGCTAGTATAGGTCTCTGCTTTCTATAGTCATTCATTCAGAAACCCAACCTGAAAAAGACCTCCTTAAGCAACACGTTTAGACTTAACAAATAAAATGTGGAATGCCTAGTTAAGTTTGAGTTTCCGATAGCAGTGAGTAGTTTTATTGAGTTGTTGGAAAGGTCGTGACACATTTTGCATAGAAAAACATAGAAAAATACGTCATGACTTTTCTGACAACCTAATAATATAAAAATATCTCATGCAGAGACCAGCAGGTGACATAATGGTTAAGGCACTGGACTCCCACATGGGTGACCATGGTTCAAGTCTCAGACCTGGTGGCTTGCTTCTCGCTTTCTCTCTCTCTCTAGC